TTCAGTCTTTATCCTTAGCATGCCCCCTATGGCCCTGTCAGAGGCATCAGTCTCAAGTTTTTACTGGCAGTTCCAATTGAGGAATTGTAGTACAGGTGAAGTTGTGAGCTTCTGCTTCAACATTGTGAAGTCTTGATCTCTGACAGGTGTCCAGTGGAAGCGCTGTTTTGTGTTTAGGAGCTTGGTGAGGGGTGCAATTAGTTCTCTGCAGTTGGGGATAAACTTCTGCACATAGGCAACCATGCCAATGAATGTACGCACCTGGCCCACATTGGTGGAGGGTGGCATGCTTGTGATTGCCTTAATTTGTCATGGTCAGGCTTTATCCCTTGGGTAGAGATGATGTCCCCAAGGAACAAGAGCTCTGACCGTAGGAATTTGCATTTAGAAGGCTTGGCCTTTAACTGGTTTTACAAAGGGTGTTGAGGACAGCACAAAAGTGTTGGAGATGTGTGGTTTGATCTTGACTGAAGACAATAATGTTGTCAAGATACACAACAACACATTTTCCAATCAGATCTTCAAAGGCTTTATTCATCAACATTAAAAAATATAGAGAGAGTGTTTGCCATTTCAAATTTCATGACACAACACTCAAACAACCCATAGTGTGTGTGAAAGGCAGCTTTTGCCTCGTCTCCTGGCGTGATGCAGACCTGGCTGTACCCTGCAGTGAGATCAATCTTACTGAAGATCTTTGCACCTGCAAGCATGTCAAACAGGTTGTCAATCAGCGGTAGGGGGTACTTGTTTTTGACTGTCACCTTGTTTAAGGTGTGGTAATTGGTTACCAGGCAAAGTGACCTGTCCTTTGCTACAAAGAAGACTGCAGCCCCATATGGTGAGAGGGAGGGGACAAATGAACCCTTTATTGAGCGCGTCCATGAGGTGTTAACAGAGAGTCTTGTCTTCCTTGGGTGTCAAGAAATAGAGGGGTTGTGCCTTTGGCAGCAACCCTTGTAGCTATACAGCATGTTGTATTTCTTGAGGGGGAGGTAGTTGGTCTAGAGTTTTTGCTAAAGACGTCCTTGTATTCCTCAAGAAGTGATACTAGTGCTGGTGGAGGCACTGTGACTAAGGGGGTAGGTTAATTGGGCTTAGAGCGGATGATCTTGACTGAGCACTAGTTAAAGTCCAGCTTCCCCCTTTGAAATCATAGGTTCCTGTCTCTGTGAGCCTTACAAACACAATTTCATGAAGTAGCTTGTTCATTCTGATGCGATAGATTTGGAACCCTACCCTGTTCCTATTGAGTGTAATTATGGAGGTGTTCCAGTTAATGTATAGACAATTATGCCAAAGCTAGTCAAGGCCAGAAATAACATTGTGGCTGAGTCCGGCCATTATTAGCCCAGAGAGCTTAACCTATATGTTCTTCATTCTTACAGAGAAGGGTGCCGTCTTGTGAGTGATAGTTACTCTGCAGGAGTTGTCCATATGTACTGCTTTAAAGCATCTAGGAACTTGGTCTAATTTTTGGGAGTCTGTGAATTCCTGGTTGATTATGGTGTGATTGGCCCCAGTATCTACCAAAATTCTGTGGGTGTTCCAATAGAAACAAAAAGATAGACCAAGTGGGTAATTTTATTTGATGAATGACTGGCTTGGAGGATGGGGTTGTAACTATGCACTTGGAATACATCTAGGGTCTCTACTTTGTGCACATTGTAGTCACAGGAGTTCTTAGAAAGGAGAGATTGAGAGTGTGGGTCAAACAAGGTTGCAGAACCTCTTGTATCTACAACCCCCATTCTTTTCCTGAGTCCTCAATTTGCGCTAACTGAAGCTCTCCCTTGCAGGGGCGCTTTGCCCCATTCTCCTGTTGGCAAGATTGACAGCAGCCCACTTGGTTGTGGACACTGCCAGGTGTGGGACAATATTGAGGTAGTGTGTTGTTGGATCTTTGGAGCCCCATTGAAGCTTGGTTATTGGCCTCCACAATGGCCTTATAGCAGTCTTCAATGGAGGTACAACAGCCCACAGAAACCCACTTGCAGATATGGGGATTGAGCCCATCAACTATTAGAGTTAGCAGCATGGTATTCCTGTTGGTGTCAGCTTCTGGGGCAACGGCAAGCGCTTGCTGCCAAGCTGCAATATACTTGGGGACATATCCTGTCTATTTGATGGCCAGGAGAGAGGTTCATACTATGATGGGTGAAAAGGTTTCACTGTAGCGGGATTTGGAAGTGTCCCTAAAGGTCACCCAAGTAACTTTGTGTTCTTGGCTGGCCCAGTTGGTGAACCATACCGCAGCAGGCCCCATGAGGAGCCCATATGTGATGACAACCCACATGAGTTATGGTTCTTGGCAGATATGAAGGCAGGTTTTTGTGAGGTGTAGCCAACTTACAATGTCAGCCCCCTCCATGCTGCCCACAAAGGTTTCCAGTTGTAGGTTCAGCATGTGTTGCAATAAGTCCAATTGGGGCAGGGTGATGCTAATGTTGTGTTGTCTCAGGTGGAGATAGTTATAGACGCTGGTGAGCGCTAACTGGTCTTGATATATGATGTATCCCTCAGGGATGTCCTCATCAGGGATAGGGGGGATGCTTCCTGGTGTGGAGTAGCCATACGGCCCGTACTTTGACCTTTCTTGAGAGGATTTCCTTATAGGTAGGTTGTTAACCTACTGCTGCTACCACTGTTACAACTGAACCAATGATAGTTCAATGTTTGATTGGAAAATAAAACAGTCCAATAGAAAGGACAAGAATAAGAATAATATGTAGTTTATTGAGGAATATTGTAATTAATATACCATATCAAGAAACCACAAGTCCACAGGGGGTGGCACAGTGGTGGGTTTAATATAAGGTTTTGGGTTGTGTAATAACTTGTGCAGGGATCAGCAAAGTCAAATTGGCAGCACTCCTGATTAGGAGATAGTGCCTTCAGCTTGACATTGCCATCAAATCAATCCATGCTGTTATACATGTCATGGGGTAGCTCTTTGAGTTCCCCTGTGTATTGTAAGATACGTTGGCGGGCAAGGATGGAACCTCAGTTGCATCAGTTTACTATAGAGAACCTCCAATGTATAAGAGCCTATATTTAATAATTTTTAGATCAATTATTTTGGGAGATTTGTAAACTTGAATCCCTTGAAGAAATGATAATCTCTTACTGTCTGGACTGATGATCATGACTGCAAATTAAGAAAAACTTCTTATTTAATGAGCTCCTGATATATTGATTTTCAAAAATTTTAACTTGAGTATGATTCCTGACTTGTAATATACCAGCTATTAAACCTGGTGGTTTGGTTTTTTTCTATTTGAAGTATCATTATGAAATTATTTTATATTTGACTTAGTATTTTACATTCTAATATATCAGTTTGTCAAAACTGTGGGGTTGACCCCCTGGAAAGGTTCCACCCAAGAGAATCTGTGATGTGCAACCCAACTTCCCCATGGCCTATAGCCAAATGCAGAAGTCAACTTGAATGACTAAATCCAGCAACAATAACTAGTGAAAATCTCAGCTTGCTGAACAGATCAATTTGGTGATTTACTCATTACAAGGACCATCCACCTCCTGTCAAATCCAACTGATTGATCATCACAATCATGTTTTGCTTATAATAATTCACCTCAACTATATAATTCTCATATCTTAATAAAGATACTTATCTAGTTTCCAATCATTTTTCCTGTGTAACTCTGCTAATACAGGACAGTTACAACAATTTATACCATCCAGTATCTCTATTATTTAGATTTCACTAATAATTTGGCTTATGATTTAATATTACACATAACAAATTGTTCTTGTCAGGAAATCCTTATCTATTAGAATTTACTGATCTATCTCCCCATCACAATAACTATGGACCAAAATAGATGGGCTACCTCTAGATGCTAAACATATATTATGAATTTAAAATCAATGGGCCATAAGGTTGGTTGAGAATATTGATATGTGAAACATTATCACCTAAAAATAAGATCCTTGTATTAGGAAGATAACTACAACATTCTGGGACAGCAATTATTGGCTGGTTGATACACCTGGATAATTAAAAAGTGGTGTTAAAAAGGAATACTCTAGTGGACACACTACTGCCAGACAAATTGAGGCGCAAAAACTTGATATCAATAGACAAAGGCCTGCCCAATTAATATTCATTTTACTGAGAAATTTGATGAAGGACCACATTCTCACATTTGTATTCCAATGAACGCAGAACAGAATCCCACCAATGATAATCACTTAGTTGACATCAACTAAGTCAAAGAAATATTCATACTGAAGAGGGGAAATTACAAGCATAGGATATTGCCTTATTCTAAAACCACTATTTGGGTTTAAAACCCAACTTTGGGGGTTGAAACTAGTAGCTTGGGGATGATAGGCTAACTAGTAAGGGTTATCTGTAGTCAGACGTCAGTCTGGTCATAGCAAAATTATTCTATAAAAAGCCCTTCTAAATTAGCTTGGAAGGCATACAATTTAAACTCATTCATATTACTACAGATAATATTGTAGTAGTGTTAAGTGATCAATAAAAGTTCATTATTAATACTTTCATGATCCTGCCAAATCACCTCAGCTCAAAGGTGCTGGTGTTGTATCAATTTTCCACAGGGCTTCCTCAACTAGTTGGCTCCGGTGACAAAGAATAAAGCCACCCCAGTTGCTGCACTATATTCACACTAATTGAAAGTACATCTGTTGCCATACAAATTCACTTCTATTAACAACCATCCCAAGTTGTCATTATATCAACATAATAAACATAACAATTCTTTCTCAAGACCCCACAATCTTGATAGTCCCTATGTTTTCTTGCCTTTATACTCTTGGTTGATGTTTTAACATATATGAAATTTTTTTTATGGACCAGAATGGTTCTATATTGTATGGGTCTAAAAAGGTTACAAATAGTCTCATGTAGCGTTTTATGAGTAATTAAGGGATTTACTAGCAATAAAAAGTGGAATAATATCTGTTCAGCATGACTTAGTCACCTTTTGTATAAAAATTGTAAAAATTGCATTAAGCCCAACGCAGGGGTCAAACCTGCAACCTTGAGATTAAGAGTCTCATGCTCTGCCAATTGAGCTATTTTTAAAAAGAACCCCAGCAGGTGCTCAGGAAACTTTTATTACTTTATTCAATAAATAGGGAAGGTATTGGGGGCTCTGCCAATTGAGCTAGCCAGGCCATCTGATTTTTCAGACAATATACTAATATTTATAAAAGACTATAAATATTTCATAACTAAAATATAATTTTTCCTTCTTTATTTTATTATATAGACGCAATCCAAAGATTTAACAAAATTCTCAATATTATAAACACAATTTTGACTTTTTAGGGCTATCTTTTAAGTTTTGAGCTCTAAAATATTTCCTCTACAGAGTTATAAGAGGCTCATCATCACTTTAAGTACTCTGATATTAAAAAATATTTCTAGCTGTATTTTTATTTTTTTGTTTGTTAAAAATCTAAGGTTTTTATTTTTTACATATTTAAGATTTATTTTATTTTCAAACCTTGCTGGTGTCATACCACCAAATCTCTACACTCTGCTGATTGATGATCCAGCTTGAGATTAATTGGTTGGGAGAGTAAAGTTTTATTAAGCCCCTTTAATAGAAGATAATAGGCTCTATGGCTACATTAATTAATTTATTTAGATAAGAAGTGACAGAATTCATGAGATCAGCTGTTGTTAGGTAGGTTACTTTAAGATAGTCTGGTACAATAATGTTTACTATACTTTTCATAGCTGTTTAGATGAACACATCAAATTCAGATGATAGCAAACTGAAGTTTCACTTAAAACAAAATATAACATTAAAAATATATTTTAAGCCAAATTAACAGAAATTAAGCATTTAATGAGCAAACCAAATAAAACATAAAACATTCATATAAGACACAAAACACATCATAGTTCACAGTCAGATTATGATCTCAAAACACAAGCAAATCCAATTCACAGTGCAAAAAACCAAAACATAAACAAAGAAAAGCTAACACTATATCAATGCTAAGCTATCTAGATAAATGCATGCAATCCAAAAAAACATTGTATTAAAATATTATCAATGTCTGTTTTGAGTGACCAAAATGTGAAAATATAAAAAATTATGTAAAATCAACAAACATAACATGAATGTGGGCAATTTGAATCAAATATAGATACTTTTTACACATAAATAGATTATATGAAAACATGAGTAGCAATTCGGTATCCAAAATAGTATAGAAAGTCCAAAATAAATTGTAATAAAAAATTAATACAAAACTTTATTTTATTTAATGAAAATTTTCATACAACTCAAACAACAGGCAAGTGCACTCAGCAGAGAGCGCTGATGCTACAGATGCCCAAGAGGGTCTACCAACAGAGCCCCTGTATTTGAAGATGATGAAGCAGTCAATAGCATGTCCAGAAAATACAAGAATGTGGTAACACAAATCCAGAGCCATGTTGTTTATACTGGGCCTGTCATTATTGACAATTATTTCTATTCTGAATCCCAAAGTGCAGAACAGGAATTGAACCCTGTCAAATCAGGCTATGGGCCACTATATATAAGGACCAGAAGCCTGCCTGGCTGATTTTTTGGGGATCAAATCCTCTCAGATTCAACCCAACAATTTTACTGCCTGTAAAAAAAGTCCAGTAAATGCTCTCAAAGTTGTATCAACAATCTTGTAGCCACTGTCTCAATGCAGGAGACAAGTTCTCAACCATTGGCTTGAAGACAATTACCTCAAACAAGCATCCAAGGAAGTTAGCACTGAAAACTGCAGGTATACTTCTAATGAAGAGAACACTAGCTAGTAGGCCACTCCTGTCATGGCCTGGGTTGGCTTCAGGAGAGCCTTTGATCAAAAGGAAGGGTCTAGCCTGAAGGGCCCAGTAGATGACAAGATCTATTTCATCACATAGTTGGCAGAAGTGGCCCAAGGACACTGTTGCTATTTGCATTGCAGTGTAACAATTATTAGAGATTATAAGGCACAGTAAATTTTCCAAAATACAGTCATATGTTAGGATATGAGTAGCATTGTATCAGAAGAGCCAGTATTGAGCAGGACCATGGTTATTGCCCAGCAATGGCTTCTGGTTGCACAGAAGCCCTTAAGGATCAGGATAAAGTTCAACCAGATTAAGGATAAAATAAAGATGGTTCAAAGATTAAAGATTGATTTTATTGTAAATGATAATACTTCTTATACCTACTACAAGGGTAATCCCTGGGCTACTAGCAATATCTTCTAGGACATTCTAACACACCCCTAATTTGGGTAATTATTAATCTAGTTTTGGCGCTTCTTGCATGTCAACCAATAAAATATCTTCATCTTCACCCAGCACAGGTGATTCTTGCTGGCCTGGAATAATTTAGTTACTTCAGGATCACTTCCTTCTTCCTTGGCATACTGAAGCTTAATGCTTATTAATGTGACAACTAAGGGAATTCAAGATTATGGGAAATCAAACACAGTGCCTTGGCGCTTGATGTAAAAGTGTAGCGGCGCTGTGGCACCTGCAATATTTGCCAGGCAGCGCTTGACGTAAAAGTAGTTTGTTGCCTTGGAGCCTGATTCACTTGTTAGGTGGCGCGACGGCGCTTTGTATATTTATTAAGTGCTGTGGCGGCACTCATCATTGGCTAGTTTAAGGCTCAGGTCAGCAGAATACTGCTGATCTAATTTGCATATAATTTGAACTACCAATTTATATTATTTAGTAGCTGCAAACCATGTCTGCAAGCTCCATCATAATTAGTATCATTGTATTTTTTACTAATAATTTATGGATTTGGTTGTAGCAATCCCAATCTGTGGGCTCTGTTATAATTGGCATCATTGCTTGGTTGAAATTCCCAACAGACACCATACTATCATGTGAGAAATCACTTCATCAGTAAGCCTCAGCATGGTTAGATAGCTAAACTCAAGCTTGCTGTAATTGTAGGACAGGAGGATGTTGACAAGGGGGAGTTCTCTTGTAGCAGCACTCATGGGCTGGCTTGGCAGAGCAAGTTGGCAAAGCATAGTGACACATGAGAAAGAGAGGAGGTGCAGGAGCAAGAACTAGCTCCTAATCTAGTACTATGGGATAAAGAATAGGGGCAAACATTGGTTGATTAGAGGCAGCAATAAGTTACTCTATCTTCCAGCGCTGGCATTGAATCTGAAGGTACTCTCTATTGGATAGCATCAACATTATGAGATTTGTGATAATGTAATAAACTCATTCAAAGTAAAAAGGCTCTGATTTCATTAACCAGCAGATTTTATTTTGTGATGTTGACAAGGAGGGAATTTAAACTTCCCCAGCTATATACTACTGGGAAGTTGGCTTTTGGCTTGGTAATACATCTTGGTTGGCTGGCTAGTTACATGCCACCGTTTTTATGGCACTGACATCATTTGGTTGGTTTTCCAGGGGTAGCAACACACTATTTTTAGATCATGGCGCCTAGACCAAACTTTGTGGTCTTCCAGAGGGCTTTTTGGGCCAAAAACCCTAACTTCTGAGTGGTTTGGTCATCAGAAAATGTTTTTAGGGGTAAAAGCTGCTTTTGTAGGTGCCTTTGGGTGTGAGCGTCCCCAGGGCATCAATTTTGGCTTTTGTGAAATTGGGGTATGAATTACTGAAACCTTATTCTCTAACCCAATCATGCAATTTTGTGATTGCAAATTTGCATTTCTTTGACCCAACAATATTCAGCTCTTTGTCAGTTTCATTCTGGGCCCTGGCAACTCCCAAGGATAGCACTCAAGAACAGAAAATTCAAACAATCATTCTATTTGAACCTGCTGATGAAATCCTGGCCTGCCCCAGTATCATTTATCCACCCAAAAACCCAGAAAGCCCCTCTGCCATAAATCCCAGATACCTGACCTTTTAATTCCCAGCCTATTGAATTCATCCTGGTTATGAAATACTATATGAGCTCCTAATTTCAGCACCAGAATTTATTGCCATTTGAAACAAAGATATTTTATGAACCATCATGTTTCCCAATTTCTTTCATATTTTATTCTTGTTATCTGCCATCTGAACATAATCTCTTCTGACCCACCAGCCTCTTCTCTCACAGTTTTTCATCCACTCAGAGCACCCTACAGGCTCATTCATTTTACAGAGTACCCTCTGAAGCCTGAGTTCAAAGATTATATACCTGAGAATACATTATTATACAATCTCTTGAGATACACTTAATAGTTAACCAGATAATTGTAAAGGTATCTGAAATTTTACATAGCTTAGGTTGTTCAAGGATAAATATAATCTTCTTTATGCCTATCAAACCAACATGAACCCAACATCTACACCTAATCTCACATACCTATCTGCACCTGACTCTCTCATCAACAAAACCAATAGGCTATTTGGAATAATGTGTATTACTTTATCTGGGGTAACTAACACTATAATTACCACCAATTAACCCTGGTCTTTATGAGTCAATCACTCTATTACACTTTTAAGATAGCACCCATCCTATTGAGACACTGCCCACCCAACCTGTGGCTCACCCTATCCCCAATTCTGATGGGCTGGCTACTCAAGGATGGCTCTCTGGAATACATGAAAGTATAGATGTAAACCAAAACAATTACAAGATGTATAGAAGAACATCCCAGTTGTCAGGATTCACCTTTTATTAGCTGCTACTCTGTTTTTTATATTTATCTGCTTTATTGGCTGCTAAGTATTATCAAAAAAGTTTCACTTAATTCATAAATCCCCTTCTTTCCACCTTCATTTTCCATATTTGGAGTCCAAGATTGGCTTTGTTAAAGCCAAATTATGACCTAAATACTGGTTAAGAATATTTCTGAACATTTCTTACCTTTTGCTACCCGGTTTCAAATCCTGGACCTACACAAGAAGATTAGGAAGTTGGCTCTGAAAGGCTTACTTTTTACTATACGCTTTCCTAAGCTTTTGGACTGGTTTTTCCTTCACTTTTTGCTTGCTCTTACCTCAGAGCTTTGATGTAACCATCTTCCACTCCTTCTGGTCTCCTTTACCTTGAATTTAACTATTCAAAGTTAAATTTAAAATTATTGATACCTTCCACCTATGCTTTTTTAAGA